ATCTACAATAAGTTTATAGTTACATGAGTTACAACAACACATAATTTCCCTTTGGGATCAATAAAGTATTTTTGAATTGAATTGAAGTGAATTTAACATGGCTTCCTGGTTACAGGGTTCCCACACTTTTGTCAACATCAAATTCAAGGACCTTTCAAGGACTTTCCAGTACCAATTTCTTCAAAGAACCATGCGCGACGGCAATTACCTACTGCTACCACAGAATGTTACCAATGAACAGGTTTAATATGTAAATTCAATGAGAAACTGAACAACATAGAAGTTGTTGAGTCAGTATCACTGAAAGAAAGTGGATTAAATGTTTACCCTACATTCATATCTACAACACATGGACATGTAATTATGTCCTGGGAGGTTCAGCAGCTCAGTTGGGGAGGATGGGATGTGAACATGTCCAGACGCTTGGTGAGGACAGGAGGAGCTGTGGTGCTCTCACCTGGGCTCAGAAAGAACGACCCGCCCTCCTCTGCTCTGATTGGTTAAACTATGACTATGGCTCACGTTATTTGTTGAAAGCCACGTCAGTTYACCRTAATCCTGAGTTATCCACCGCAACAAAAGTTTGTTTGTTTTTTGTTTTTTTACAGATGATAAAAATGAGTTGTGTGAATCGAGAACTTCAATCCCTAAAAACATTCAAGGACTTTCAAGGACAAATGTAATTTTTGGCTGTTTTCACTAATATTCCAGAGCCTTGAAATCATTTTTTCAAATTCACAAACTTTCAAGGATTTCAAGGACCTGTGGAAACCCTGTAGTTACCTAGTTATGAAAGGAAATATTCATCCCATTATCAGACAAATTTAAGGTGGAGCTACATAAATAGTATTTTTTTTAAGAAAAGAGTTAGAATAACTATATTAATATAAATATGGTCTGAAGTCGGTCAGTTAAGGAAATGCAAAAGTAGTTAGCTAATGTTTATTTTTTTATTTACTTTCAGCTTCATGTTATTAAAAATGTTATTTAACTAGCTCCACCTTAATGGTCTGATAGTGTTCAGCTTCCAGTTTGAGAATAAAAAGACCGATTTCGTGTTTTTAGAGTATAAAATAAAAAAATAAATGAACAAACAGTACACAGACTGAGAAAGTTTTACTGAGCAGACTCTGCCGGGGACAACCTTTGATGTTAAGTTTTAGTAATAACAATAAAATGATCCAAACTTAATACAGCAGATGCCCCCAAATTAGAAGGGGTTTATATTTTTAGAGYGAAACATGAAAAAAAATACTTTGGATTTAAAGCGTCCTATAAACTGTGTGGGAGCCACCGCCTCCTGACCTGTGAGCAGACTAAAGTTTTTTGTCTCTCACCGACTCTGCAGGTCCATGAGGCTCTGCTCGGCGTGTTGCAGACTCTCCAGGTCCCTCATCATCTGAGAGACGTGCACCTTGCTGGACTTGTTCTGAATGTAGGCGAACCAGCAGCCTCCGACGCCGATCACGATGGAAACCATCAGGACAAAGTCCTTCATCCAGTTGTGCTGCTGACCTGCGGGACGGAGAGAGGAGAATAGGTCGGTGAGTTTTACCGCGTTTAAATTTAAGGACGGAGGGTTTTAGAGCACGCTTACGGAGAGGAGGACCGAAGAGCACAGCGTCCAGCGCCTTTAGGTTCAACTTCTGCTTGTGCCGCTGGTCTAAAACCTTCAGCTGCATCGACATGAACGACGGCTCGTTCGCCGCTATTCTGAAATGGAAAAAACAGAAAAGAAAACGGTGAGTTCAGATTTCAAACAAAGCATTATCGACATCAGTAACGTGGGTTAGGGGTAGGAGGAACAGGTGGGCTTCGGAACAGCAGTCTGATCACCTCAGAGCCTTCAGCTATGACATCACTTCATGAGTCAGCTGAGCAGTGCAACATGAGACCCCCGCCCCCCACTCCCACCGTTACAGTTACTGAGTACACTCAGTCTGTAGCGGCTCACGTTGAACATGTCCCACTGAACAGATTTAATGTCACTGTCCTTAAATAACAGCTTGATCTCTGCCTCGCCGCGCGCAGGAATTATAAATATATAAACACATAAATCTACTGCGACCTGCTGGCAGCTGGGATTCAGGGAGGAGATATTGTTCATGTCAGTCTGATGATCGTGATGAGAAGATGTTTGTAGGACCGAGAGAGGAAAAAACTATATCACCTTGTTTGTTTTTAACATTTCTATTTTTCCCAGCACTTCCTTACAAAGCCAGCAGTGGGCAGCAGTACACAGAGTAAACCAAACAACTGGCTTCAGTTGTAATAAATCTGATTAGACTCACTGATTACACATGTCTACAAAGCATAAACATTTTAATTACAGGCAGCAGGTGACTTGACAGTTACCTTTATTAATTATATTTTATTGATCCTGAGCAGTTACAGGTTTTGTTAGACCCCCCAACACAGGATAGTGACCCCGATGTGCTCTCCATGACCTAAAGGGACGTGTTTAAAGTAAAACTAGAAAATCTCCATCAGTRTGAAGACGTGCAGGACGTTTAGCTGTCAGTCCTCCCCACAAAGGTGTTCCCTGCCAACCCTAACAACACAAACTTGATAGCAGGGCTCGTGTTAACTGAATATTTTCCATATTTGACCCGGAACACCTGGTGGAAAGTTAGCATTTTCTGTGTGAATGCTTTTTTATTATTTTCTCTTCGTTTTGTTTTATTTTGTATCTCACAATTTTTGTGCTGTTTCAACAATTTCTATATCAAAATGTTCAGCTCCTTCAGGACATTTCAGTTATGAGTTTTAGTACTTCAGCAATTTGCACTTTTTGAGATGTTGAGCATTTTCAGCCATTTTTGTCTCATTAAAGATGAATGGAGCTGTCCTTAACGTCCTTAAAACTCTTCAAAATGTTCAGAAATCTTTACTTTAGAAACTTTTCACTCGTTTCCCCATCTGTCTGTTAATTTTAACTATTTTTTTCTACTTTTAACTTATTTTTTGCTAATTTTAGCTACATTTTTTTGCTCTTTTCACATTGTTTTTACCCATTTTGCTGTGTTTCTATGGATTTTTCACTTTTGATGTCCTACTTTCCGCAAAATCCAGCTGTTTAGGTTTAACTTGCATTAATGGTTTTGTTAATGAACATTTTCAGCTTCTTTCAGAAAAAMTATTTCAGCGTGAAGCATTTACACTGCWTTTTTGCAGRAAATGCAGTTTTTYTAGTAATTAGCTATTTTCTCACTTGGTGAATGATCTCTTAGGCTTTAGTCAGAAAAATGCCACGGCAGCTGAGTGTCTGAAGTTTCCTCAAAAAGCCAAATAACAACGATGTTGATAAAAGAGGTGAAAAAAAGAGGAACTGATGCAGTGAAAGATGCAGAACAAGTTATCAGCCCTCGGTCTACGGTGCGAGCAASAGGCAGTAAGGAGGTTAAGTGATCTGATCATATTTTCAGTGTACTCATTTAAYTTCATGTTTTAATGTTGTTATTAGGACCTCACTGTCAGTCAAAATGATGTACAGTGGAAAAACTTCTGCTTGATACAGAWGTTTTGTGGATCTATCACACAGAAGGAGGATTTCACTGAATTCTTATTGTGTGCCTCTAAATTTCACCAAGACCCTGCAAAGACCATCTAAGTTGTGACTAATGTATGAGGCAGAGCTTAATAAGAAGTCCAAGATGTGCTCCTGAGACCTGAACAGAGAGGCTGTCTGAGCAGCACGGCACTAACCGAGGTAACGTGTTCCCCGTGACCCGGAAGTCCCGGAAGTTCTTCTCGTACTGCGGCAGCTCCACCGACTCCTTCAGCCACTGCACCGTGTCCTCTGTGGTCCAGTTGTGGACTGTTGAGGGACACAGAAACACAGACGTAATAACAGATTAGAAGCTGGAAAAAGTATTTTATTACTGCTTCTTGAACGATGAACTGCAGAAATATTACTGTACAGATGTAAATTAGCAACTATGCTAGAATCTGGCYCATTTACTGTCTACACTGCATAAGACTGTTCATTTATGTGCACTGTCCTGATTAAATAAATAAAATTAAGAAATACAAGTATTTATTAAGAGTGCTTTTTATAAATAAAAACTACAGAACATGAAAAAGTCTCCAATTTAATTAGCATTAATCAAATCTCWTACATTTCTCATCTAAATAAGTCAACAACTAATAAGTTTAGTCATAAAACAGTTTTAGATATCTGAAATTAAGCATGGTGAAGCAGATTAAATGTAAAAACGGCCTGCCATACRCGTGAGCTTTCGCATGTTGCTGAAAAAGATCTGCTGCGCTCTCAGAGCAGAAATGGGTTGTTAAATAAGACAGACAAGTGAACGTCCACATCTACTTTTCATCCCTGCAGTTACAAGAATGAGTTTAGAAAAGTAGCTGCTGCCAGAAATCAGTGTGGGAAGCGAGTTCATCACAGCACACAGAGGAAGGTTATTCTTAAATGTTAGACATTTAAGTCGGTAGCGAATCTTCCCGGGAGTGGACGATGTCCCAACAAATTTACCCCAAAGTCAGACTGTGCAATGCTAAGAAAATGATCTAATGAGCCAAAGAGCTCCTCCTCTACTGTATGAGCCTCTGTTAGCAGGTTAAAKGTTAAAGTTCATAAGACTTCAACAGGAAAATAAGAGCAGCAGAGACCTGTGCCCCCAACTATGATTTCAGCTCAAATAAACACAAGAACAGTAACAATATCCATTATGCTACTTTTATCCATTTTAACCTCACTTATTTTTGTAACTATTAACATACAAAATTGTTGCCGTAGTCACTTTTAAATGTAACTAACTCTAGAAATCTTCAAGACCCCACCTGGACCCACAGTGGGGTCCCGACCCCAACTTTGGGAAASACTGATCGAAATTTAGMCAAAGAGCTAAAGCTGAAACAGGTTCGTTCTACAGGACGATGACTCTAAACACACCAGGTGATCTACAACAGTAAGGGTTAAAAAAACAGAAAAGAAATATCAGGGCGCTGCGGCGCTCCAAATGACTTGTTTAGTCCAGACCTCAACCTGACAGAACGGCCGTGGTTGGACTTTAAATGAGCTGTCTCTGTTGTGAAGAAGAGTGGGCCAAAATCCCTTCAGAATCATGTCAGACTGATAAAGTCAGATATATAAACAACTGAGTTTTTGCAGCTGAATCATGGGGTGGAGGCAGCTTTTCACACAGTTTTCCCCCATTTTTGCTACATTTGTGTTAAATAAAGACAGAGTACAGTGTTCAAAATGTTTTTCTCCACTTGAGGTTCGATTGAAATACTTTTTAAGACCTATTAAAACTAGATCTGATTCATTAAGTCCTAACATGTCAAACCTTAGAACTGAAAAGTGAACTTTTATTTTCCAATCTAAATGGGTGATTATTTGAGGCAAAACCTTACTTTAGCCACGAGACCAACTTCTAATGGTTCTGGAATACTGTATAATTAAACTAATCAGCTACACTGATAAACAAGTTGGTTCTTTATTAGACATTATCTAATTTGACTGAAGTGTAGGAAACAATAAGTCCAAAGTCTAAAGCTCAAACATCCATATTGGGTCTCGTTTTGTATTTTAATGTGAATTAATGTCTTGTTGAACGCACTTTATTTTCACTTGCTCTCTCAGCCATTCAGCCGTCGAGCTCGCTCAGGCTTTCAGAGCTGAGAAAGAGAAAAGAAAAAAACGGTCAAGCTGTTTCTGACTAAAGCCAGCAGCTGAATTCCAGGCTCCACATTCAACAGTCTCAGAGTTTGAGGCTCTAACGAGGACTGTTCAGAGCTGCTTTGGTCTCTTTCTGTAACGCTGCACATTTGCATATAGTTTCTGAGAGGCTTTCACTTAGTTCACTGCAAAAATTCAGCATAAACAAATAAAACACTGGATCGTTCAGGAAATATTTAGTCTGACCTTTATTTGAGAATATACTTTTACATTTTACAAGTTTGTTTGTATTTTCACTCAAAAAGAAGATTTTATGTTGATGTGGTCATTGACTGTTAGTACTTCCCTGAAGAAGATTATGTTTAAATGTCAAAAACAAAGAAAATACTGACTGGTGTAGGTTTCTTTTTTGATWAGATATTTTAAAGTGCCTGTGACATCAAATTTTTGTAATAAATGTGAATGTGTTTTTGGAAAGAGAACATTGATAACATATTTCAAAACAAATWTCACACCGTTAAGATGAACAGTTGTTGAAATATTTGCATGTGAAGAAACAGGAAGTGATGTCAAAGGGGAACATCTGCATGYAAACGGAGTGATGCTAYGATAATTAGAGACGAATCTGATGTTTCTTTAGATTATTTTGAGTCACTATCAGAGTTGAAGAAGAGTTTAAATACGATTGTTTCAATAAACAAAGACTAGAGAGTTTCTTTTCTTAAAGAGTTTCCATTTGATGTTACTTCCTGTTTCACTTTGCTGAGCCAAAYTCAAGASAAAATAGGCCAGTTATGAGACAAAATGGGTAAAATCCTATTTATTATGCTAATTTTCTTAAATATAAATATGTTTTCTTTGACTTTTTGTATTTGAAGGATAAGCACGTCACGGGCCCTTTAACACATCAACAATGTTTTTGCCTGTGTCTGTCTGTTAGTAAAATATTTCATAAACCACTGGGTGGAACTGAATGAAACTCACAAAGTTATGACTGGATGTACAGATACAATTGATCAACCTCTGACGTCAACCCAATTCAAGACGGCTGCCATGTCTAATGATGTCAGCAACACTAAAATGGCTACAATTTACACAATTTTGTTTAAATGAGTCACATCCAGTGCTACATATTGTGCAACTTTGCCTATTATTAGCTGCTGGAGTCAACTTTGTCTATTTGTAAAAACTATTTTAAGAGAACCTAGAGACAGATTTTAGTGATAAACTTGCAGTCAATACAGTAACAAAAATGTCAGTAGCTTAGACAGATGCATCTTATTATATTAGATCATACATAATATTTACAAGGTTTTACCAGTACAGATGTAACTCCATCATTTCTCATCCTAAGGTATCACTTTAAAGTCTGACTCAAAGGGAGGCAGGTGATGTTGCTTCTTTCAGAGAATACTCCATTTAGTTTGACGAATCACAACACTTGACACATTTTCCTTATAATAGTTTTGAGCCTCCAGACAGGTCGGTTCAGTTCTTAGAGCACAGAAGAGGAGGATTCATCTGCACAGCAGGTGTGAGATGCCAGATATTCAGGTGGTTTTATGAGTGCCAAGTGTTGTGCAACCAGCACCCTCTGGCTGTTTCAGTGAATACCATGTCAGTTAGAAAGTAAAAGTATACTATCGATTCCAGGACAGGTTAAAGGAGCACACCTGAGCCTGTGATGAAGCAGTATCACTTTTTAGGAACCAACACCTGCACCATGTGATCTGCATCCTGTTGGTTGCAAGTTTGCTCTGTATACTTAGTGATGCTACTGCAGTCTTCCCGTGGTTTCAGCTCTAGTAACAGAAAAGTACAGACACCTTGACTCAGGACAGTGCCTGTAGGTGTTTGTATTGGTGCCATCTTGGTGCAGACAGAGGGTAACTTTACCTTCAGAGGTCTTCCAGCCCCTCCACAGCTCCTCCACGGTGATGTGCTGGTCTTCACGGTGCAGGTTGCTGTGTTTGTTGGTTTGTTGCTGCTTCATGTCTTCTATTATGAACTGGCAAACAAAACAACCAGACAAAACTGAGTTATTCAAACTTTTCATTAACGTCACAATGCATGTATCTGTAGGCAGTACAGATGGCTGCGCTCATGTTGTTTTGACAAAGAGAGAGGGTTGTCTAGATGTGAGTCCCACATGCACACATTTTCTTATTTGTCTGATTTCTTCCTTTTAAGGGCTTCGAAAAGAAAAAGAGAGAGAGAGAGAGCCCTGGAAGAGGCACTATTTCTACCTTTGTGTGTGTGTGTGCGTGTGTGTGTGTGTGCGTGCGTGCCTGTGTGCGCATGTGTGTGTGTTCTTTTAGTTTCCGGACGTAATCCTTTGGTAGCTCAGAACTAAGTAACCCTGCAGAAGAACGCCAAAAGAAACAAATCCAACCAAAGAACGGCCAGAACACCAGTAACATCAACAAGGATCATGGCGGACTACCAAACACCTCAAAGCATTCATCCTGGACAACTAGGTGAATGTGTGGGGCCTGGGCATGGTTTGATATGCAGGGAACAGTTTTATTCATCTAGCTTGTTTCTGATTATTAATTAGCCTGCAACGGTCCTGCAGAACAGTGTTGGACTATTCCAGTAAATAATGCCAAGTGTGCAATCCCAGTTAACTGAGAGCATTTCATTCAYTGTGATTAGTTTACAGGTCAATTTGAGTAGAAACGCCTAATTTATATTTATATTCTAAAGACATAATAATGGTTTAAGGGCCAACAATACTTATRAGAGTAATGTTACTGTGCTGATAGTGGTGGGCAATAAGACACCACATAGCAGACAGGTGTGGGCCAGATCTGGGGTCAATCTGGCACTGCTGGCTGACTGCTGGCATAGCAAGTGGTTTGTCAACTAAATATGGGCCAGGTCTGGCAAGGATGGTACTGTTTTAAAGTGGTACAGTTTTGGTTTGGTTTTCATGGCCCAAATCTGTCTGCCACAACTGGCCCAGTTGTTGTTTTGTTGATGTGGCCCACATCTGCCAATGCCATCACTTGCCCAGTTGTGGTTTGGTTAATGTGGCCCAAATCTGCCAATGCCACAACTGGCCCAGTTGTTGTTTGGTTAATGTGGCCCAACTCTGTAAATGCCACAACTGGCCCAGTAGTTGTTTGGATAATGTGGCCCAGATCTGTCAATGCCACAGCTAGCCCAGTTTTGACTTGGTTTATGTAGTGTTGGGCCACATGTGGAGCACCACTTGGCAAACAATATCTGGTCCACCAAGGGGTCAACATTCTTTGCAGTATCTGAGCCAAGTGTTACAGTGGTTGTGCCTTGTGTAGACCAGAACTGGGCAAGAAAAATTTTACTGCGAGGGACAATAGTAGATGGTAAAGGATTAAAATTTGTTGACACTGTGCAAAAGCAGAGACCTCGTAGGATCATCTATAGCACATTCTATCTATTGTTGTTCTAGGCTTTGTGTTTACTCATCAGTTATTTCTTCAGACTAAATCACACAGTTTGCTTGTTCTCTTAACGCTCACCCCGGAGGAACAGCGACTAACCAATCAGAACAAACTGGAGTCAGTTCTGGGAATTCTTCATTCAAACTGGAGCTGGAAGCTGAAAATGAAACCAAGACAATTAACTTTACCTCTAATGTACGGAATTGGTTCGGCTTTTCTCCAAATGAAACGAGCCAAACAACAGTCCTGTCAAAAATCTGCACTGACAGGAATCGCACGTCAAATGGCACCACAAAAASAGGCAGCAGATTACAGACTGAAACAAACCACTTTAATCCTCTTGCTGCCCCTGGGTCAAAATGACCCACAAGGTGTTAAGATTAATGCCTCTTGGGTCATTCTGACCCAAGGGATGCTGAAGGGTTAATGCTGACATTTGATAAAGGCAGCCCATTTAAGGAAAGCAAACAGTGGAAACAAGGAACTGAAGCAGTCACCTTTTACCTCATAAAAACAGTAAAATACAAGGGATGAAAAAGCTCCTGGGTTTTATTAATCTGCAGAATTTAGACTTCGTCTTTTTTCTGAATGATGTTAAACTTCAAGGTAATCAGTTTACCCCAAAGTTAAAATTTTTATTTCACCATTTTCAATAAGACATGAGATTTTATCTTAAAGCTTAATTC